GCCGGGGAAGGTGCCGAGTGGCTTCGTTGTCCCAGGAAGGGTTCGTGTCCCTGAAGTGCAGGTGACTGCAGCCGACCTCTCTGTGCGTCTCTGGGTAGGAGGGGTTTGGGTTTTTCCACCACTAGACGAAAGACTTTCAGCCAATAATGTTTTTGCATTTTAAAATTAATTTTATTTAAAATATGGGACACTTCTGACGAAATTGTTGCATGGGGTTTTTTTGTGGTTTGTCAACATCTGGTTTCTGCTGATGCAAGACTGAAGGCAATCACTGAATGGTGGTTTAAAATCTCCCCATTTTCTGCTTTGCAGCTCTGCCTAGGCTATTCAATAGTGATGCCCTCTTCTAATAAGCAGAAAATTATGACATCCCACATTTTGTTCTGTAAAGCAATATTATTTCCTTCTTCCAAAAAAAGAATCCAAACAAATTTCAGGGGATAAACATCCCGTGCAGTGCAGGGCAGACACAGTAAGAAAACCAGATAAATAGACAGCTCCGAGTTAGAGCAGAGGCACCTGAGACACCAGTGAAGGCCATGTTACCGAGCATCTTCAGTATTCTGCGTGGAAGGGGTACTCCTTGTGAGTTTTGGACCTGAAAGAAATCAAAGAGGGAGTGTTATTTTCTTGGGTGAAGTAAATGTTATATAGAGGTTTATTGGGTGCATGGAGGAGCTACCGAGGGAAGATCTGCATCATGTGACTACAGGAAGAATATGCGGAGATGTGTGTCCTCATTTCTCTAATGCAGACAAAGATTAAATGAACATCTAGAACCCATTTTTTGTAATTCAAGTTACACAGAGTTCCCTCAAAACTGAATTCAAAGTGAGAATGTGATTTGTTTACATTTTTTTGTTTGTTTTAAAAATGAAAATATTAAACCCTCTCCTGAAAAAGTATTTTTTGGACAAACCAGTTGGAATTTGAGTTGGCATGATTTTTAATTAAACTGAATTTCATGCTACCTAGTAGCTGTGACACAAAATTCCTTGTAAAGAATATTCAAAATTGAAGAGTTGAAAGGAAACAAGCAGTGTCACTTACATGCTCATTGCACAGATCCTCCAGTTTCTATTAAAGCTGAGAAGGGTTGCCATCTCCTCTTTAGTCAATTCAAAGTCAAACACCTAAGAAGAGAAACAGCTGGAAATCACCTCTTTGAAAAATCAAACAGTGTGAAGCAGAGAGAGAGCAGCTCCACACTGCAGGGTCCATTTTCAGTCATGGACCAGTGGATTAACAGATAGAGGAACAACTTGTTTTATGGACACAGGAGCTATTTTATGAACATTGCTTATTCTGTGTAAGACTTTTCTGGCGTGTTACTGTGTGTGGGCTCCAAGCAAGCTGTGCCTGCTGATTCATCCACAAGCCACAGAACAGGAAACATCCTATAAGACCTGTTCATCCGTCCTCTCCAAAGGTAGGCCTGACTTAACCCTCAGTAGAGTCTAGGTAAGCATAAAGAGAGAAAAAGCCCAGTCCTCTTGCCTGAGGAGAACTTGGGAAGGGTGAGAAAGGATCGGTGCTGGCTCCGCAGGGGGAAGGCATGCCATCCCTGAAGGGCAGCACCCAGGTCACTCCTAATGACTCACCTTGAAGTTCTCCACAATGCGCTGTGGTGTGACAGACTTGGGAATCACAATCACATTTCTCTGGATCTGGAAGCGAAGGAGAACCTGCAGGAACAGACAACTGAGTCAGAGAGAGGACAGCTCCTATTCTGGAGGAAGCAGAGCTTGTTCCAATAGCTGTTTGCCACTAAGTGTATATTTCAGTAGAACTAAACCCTTTCTGTGGAGCTACAATTCAAATAATTCCTGTCCCTGGGCCTAGGTATCTCTTCCTGAAGGGCAAAGAGAGAGGTGGTGGAGACCCACTTGGAAGGCCTCCTTTCCCATCCAGTTTTGGGACAGTCAGTTCCTTTTCTTCCCCCCTGGACTCTCAGCAGTCTATGCAGGGCTTTCATTCTCTGTAAGAGGACTTGAGAGGGGAAGTGACATCTGAAAGTGGGTCAAGAACCTTTTTCTGGCTGAGGGCCAAAGAAATAGTAACATATCTTGCAGGCCATATAATAAACAATCTATATTGTTAGGGAAGAATCAGAGGAGTGCCACAGTTCATAGGGAATGGATGCAGGTTCCACCTGCTTCTCACATCTATGTTCCTTAATGGCCGTGTTACAGGAAGGAGTACCCACTGTCTGGCACCTACATACCTGTGCTGGGGTTTTGTTGTGCTTGGCTGCAATCTCTTGGATCTTGGGGTCGTCCAGAAGGGAAGGATCCTCTGGCTTAGCCCTACACAGATAAAAGAAGATCAGTGGTGAGGAACCTCCATAGAAAGATCCAACCTGGCAACAGAGATATGTATTTAGATGAATGATTAATGGTCCACTTGTAGTCTCAATGTTTCAAGCGTAATCCATGCCAGCTCCCTTGCAAATTGCAAAGCAATCTTACCATGGCCTGTCAGGAGAGCCAAGAGGACAGTACGCTGTCACAGCAATCCCTTTGGATTGACAGTACTTGATCAGCTTCTCCTGGGTAAGGTATGGATGACACTCGATCTGCCAACACAAAGGCACAGAGGCTGATAGTGGCAGAACTGTTGTAATATTGCTGTGCCCCATGGGTTATCTCCTAATCCAATTAGAGGCTGCCTTTTGCCCTAATTTGCCAGTGGCCTACATGATAATAAGCATCCTTAGTACTGAAGACACCTATTTTTATACAAAGTGCTTATACAGTTTTTTCTGCAGCGGTTTCACAAAGCTCATCTCTGAGTTCTTTATTCTTCCATAAAGAATGTTTCACACGGAAATACTCCAACATTTGTAAACAGCGTTTCAGCAAGGTGAGACAAAAAAGGAAGTATCCCAGTGTCTTGTGTACCCAGAAATACTCAGAGTGGGATTTAAGAGTACATGCTGTATTCTACTTTGTTCTCCCTTTTTCCATATCCTTATTCAACTGTAATGAGATCTTTATAATCCCTGAAAACTATTCATCTGCAGTCACTTAGCAGCTTACCTGGTTAACTGCAGGCTTGTACTTCAGTCCTGGTTTGTTCAGGATTCTTTCAATCTGCTCGTGGTTAAAGTTGGAGATTCCAATGGCTTTTACCAGACCAGCATCCACCAGCTCTTCCATGGCCTAACACAAAGAGGAGCAAAATCATCATCTGGTACGCAAGACAGGCCATGAAGAAGATGTTCTTCCTGATGTGGCTTGTTTCCCGTCATGAGCAGCACAAAATAACTATTTAGAGTTGCAAAGTTTTCTGAGGGAAAAGCAGGTACTGGTACATTAGTGCCGTCTCACCCAAGCCCAAATTCTCATTCCCTGGGTTTGTGGGAATTCACACCAAGTTGCATAAGGAAAAGAACAACGACACTCAGTAACCCACTATTATGCAAGCACTGGAGGGCAGTGCCCCACACTGTAGGCAAGATCTCAACCTAGAATGTCTTTATTTCTGTAAAATGTATTTAAGCAATTCAAGAAGGGCACAAGAATTGTGGTGAAGGCAATTGTACAGTTGTTATGGTCAAGCAAAGAACCTTTTCTAACCTCAGTCTGGTTTGCAGCTCCACTGAAAGTGACTGTAGGTCAGGCACTCAAGTAAGGCACTTGGGGAATAGGAATAACTAGGTAATAACTAAGCATGCACATTATGAAAGTACTACTTTGTACTGCCATATGTTCCTTCCAACTAATTTGCATGCATGAGACAACAGTTCTGTGACTGCTGAAGGTAATGAAAACATGGCAGAGCCTGATGAGGACAGAGGACATGAGTCTTCTGCTGTGGCTGAACTTACCTCCCACGTCTGTAGAATATCAGTGTTGCTAGGTATAAACATGCCTTTGTCATCTTTGGGAAACAGCTCCTCTCCTGCCTGTCAATGAGAGAGAGAGTGCTTGAAATAATCTCTGTTGGGACGCTAGCTATGTAAAAGAACCGAACAGGAGCGAAAGGTAATAGTGCATGTAGTGCATGGAAATAGGTAAGGAGTTAAAGCTAATAGTGCATGAAAAAAAGTCAAGTAATTCTCATCATAACTTTATTAATTCTTCAGTCATTTCTTATTCTTCGTTCATGCAGGGTCATGGCATTTTTGCCAGCTACTATCCCAATAAAGACAGGTATTTCTGCTGGATCCATTGAAGTGATGATCCACAAAATGCATACAGGGAAGTGATTTACTCATAGAACAATATCCTGGAGTCTTACATGAGTTCACTTCATCTATTATTCTGTCATGTACATTTAAGAATACTAGCTTCTTCAGTTGTTTTTAAAAAGGTATATGAAGGATTGATTTTGGTCCTGTGAACGTACACATTTATACTGGAGCACATCTGCTGAAAAAGGTACTGCTGACATTTTCCGTGGGGAAGCTTGCTGTTTAAATTGCTGTATTAGGAAAATCAGAACAGTCTGTAATTAGACAGTATGGCCAAAGTGTTTTGAATGGTTGGAATTTTCTAAATGCCACAATATTATGCAGTTTCACTTGACAACTTTGTCCACATAAAGCTAACTAAAATAATATTGAGAGAATGAAATGAAGTTGAGGAGCTCAAAAGCATTAGGTAGAATAGAGATTTTGATCTGGGTGTAGCAGAAAGGAAAGGCTAAGAGTATATGTATATATACACAAACTGACATAAATCCTTTGAAGTACATGTAGTCTGCGAAAGTTTGGTATTGAAAAGCTTCATCTTTTGAAATCCAAGGTCTGTGAAACAACACTAAGGCTCCTACAGGCAAGGTCAGCTCAATCTGGGCTGTAGGTCAGCTCAGTCTGCTCTATATTAAGTACTTGGTGATAAAAGAGAGAAATGGAAAACAGAAACATTTTCTTTTGCTCTGCGATTCTGTAACATGCAGAGAAAAGAATTTCTGTCAGGCAGCAAAGTGCAGGCCTCCTTCCTGCAAGGAGTAATTTTCAGATGAGCATGCTTTGGATTTGTAAAAGAAAGGCAAAGTGGCGTAGCTTATGCTTGCACCTGGGAGGCCTGATCTTAGCGCTAGGTCTGTATCACTGATATCAAAAGGGCAGAGGACGCTGTGCAAGCAGCACTCTCAGGGGCAGAGATCAAGAGCCTGGCTCATGTGGCCAGAGTAAAGTCGAATGAGCAGCACCGGAGCCGTGCTGGTACACACAACAGACACATGGTCTTTCTGGACTGGAGCAGCAGTAGTGCTGCAAGCATTACTGGCAGTTTTGAGGAGCTCTCCCAGGAGGGAAAGCCAAGGGCATTACTGTTACTGTACCTTGAACCCAGAAGGCCAGTGCATGAGGTAGAGATCCAGGTAATCCAGTTTCAGGTCGGCAAGAGTCTTCTGGCATCCTCCCTTCACCAGAGGTTTTTCATGAAACGTGCACCATAGCTAGAGACAAAAAGCCAAGGCACACCGTGATCTCCTGGGTTAAAGCTCTCAAGTACTCCTGCATAGGGCAGAAATGCTCCATCTTCTTTGGAAGGTGATGTGGAATGAGGCCATCCTAGTGCTCTTCAGATTGGGCTTGCTCTGTGAGCAGGACTGGCTCGTGATGCTGAAGGCAGTATGTGCAGTGGCAGTACACATGATCAGACAGATCTGTAGTAAAAACTCCTATTGCAAGGTCAGACTTGGGTAGATGAGGATGGCTTAGTTCAAAAAAGCTTTATGTCAGATTTGACCATTTGTACATATCCTGTAAAAAATTTAGCAGGCAAAGCCAGGAAAATATAAGACAAGCCACAAAGAAGTGGTTGGCACAACCTTTACCAAGGTAAGAAGTAACTTCAGAAACCAGCTAAATATCCTGGTTTCCTTAGTAAGCAAGAGAAAGAGAACCCACCAACCACACCTTCCTTGGGACATGTGCTGTGCAGATTACGCTGTCCCAAGGTGCCCAGAACCTCATCTTCCTCACACAGCTGGGCGGGACTGTGGACCCAGCTGCCAGAACAAGCACCAGCCACTGCCAGTCTTATCTCCTCTGCTGTGCTTTAGCAGTCAGTGAGGTGCCATAACCAAATTGGTTCTGCCTCTGTATCAGTCTATGCCATCAAGTGATCTCAGACCTCTGCATTACAGGTTTCTACCTTGCTTGGTGCTACCTGGCCCACTCTACCTTTTCCTGCTCCCCTTCTCCTGCACCAGTTGGTCTGCGGATGGCCTCTCCTCATCCATCCCTCAGCACTTCTGGGTCCCCTCATCAGAGTGCCGGACCACAGCAGGGTGCAGACACAGCTTATCCTTCCTAACTCTCCATACAGAATGGGATGAAGCAGTAAGCTTGTATCAGGAGTGACTTGAATGGTGTTATGAATTGCTTTATCATAGAATCATAGAATAGTTTGGATTGGAAGGGACCTTTAAAGGTCATCTAGTCCACCCCCCTGCCGTGGGCAGGGACATCTTCAACTAGATCAGGTTGCTCAGAGCCCCATCCAACCTGACCTTATCCTACAACATAAAGTTTGTCCCCAGTACTTAAGCTTCCTACTATGAAAATACTATAGGCAGAGCATTCCCTCACCCATGCTCCAGGGTGGAAGATCTTCAGATCCTTACCTTACTGACGATGAAGAGGTCCTCTCGTTTCACAACGCCTTCCTTGATTTTCTGCTGGATCCCTTCCCCAACTTCCTTCTCATTCTGGTACACATAGGCACAATCAAAGTGGCGGTACCCAGCATCGATGGCAGCCATCACTGCAGCTGTTACTTGCCCAGCTGTGGACTAAAAATAATGCATAAATCTTAATAATCTCAAATCAATACATGTTAAATATCTGCATCCTAACAAAATAAAAATAGGAAAACCACCTTACTGAAAGCAATCCTCTCCTCCCACAGGTTGTGGGTTTTTTTTCTTTACAAGAACAGTATTTCTTGCAGTCATAAGCATGGGCTCCAGGGCTTGAAGCCAGTCTGTAGCCATTTCTCGTAGCCCCACTCTCATGTAGGTTCAGCCCAACAGCCAGGTAGAGCAGAGCCCCAGACACGAGGACAGCTCTCCAGAGCTGGACAAGGGGGAACAGAGTTTTGTGCCAGGGAGCTCTGCAATACTGGTGCTTTTCTCTGAAGCTGTTACCTTCCAGGTGCCCAGCCCCACGAGGGGCATCTTCGCCCCGGTGCTCAGCTGCACGTAGGTCGCCATGGCCCTGCACGCCGTCTGGGCAGCCCCACTGCAGCTGCCTCTTGCCCGGCTGGTTTAATAGTGACTGGTCGCTGGCCGGGGCAGGGGAAGATGGTGGAGCGGCGCCAGTGCTCTGGGTCCGCCCATATCTGGCAAACAAGACTGCGGCTTTTTCTCTGTAGACTCAACTCACACAGGTTAATGTGAAAGCTGAAATCAATTAAAAATCGCGGAGGTGATCACACCCCTGGGGTGTGCAGTGGTGCGCCCTGCGGACCTTTCCTCCTGGTGAAGTTCCTTATCAAAAGATAAGGGCTGAGGGCGGCTGTGCCCCGATCCGGCTTGTGTTTGTGCAGGCTTCGGCTCCTGCAGCGCCCTGTCCCTGTGCCACAGGTTGTTCATGCGTGTCTCGCTTGTGATACGCGCTGGGGTGTTGCAACACCCTGTTGCACTTCACCCCATCGGTTACCTGGTGGAAAGCCTGTTTCATTCAGTGGCACTTTGGCCCACAATTTGTCATCAGTAAAGCCAAGGGGGTGTCCCAAAATGCATCAATAAACAGGAGTCCCGGAGTAGGGCATGAGACAGAACTCATGG